CTGCTCCATATACATTATAGATTATTATAAACATTGTCTAATTATTGTTGCCTAAGCAGGATTGGGGATAAATGACAACATGTTTATTTCAATATCATCTTTTTCTTATCTAATTTACATACTAATGATTATTAATATTTATTATTATTATTGATGATGATGCTCTTTGTGGAGCTATTAAATATTTACAATAAATTTCATTATTTAAATAATTGCATATAAACTTTGCATGTATATTTATCTTACAGTTAACAAAACATGAAAATATTTATTAAAAATTTACTTTGTTTAAAAATGTCATTAAATAATTCATTGTAGTTTTGAATACAGCCGTAAATTGGCTACTCAATTCAAAGATTTCAGTAGTTAAGTTATTTATTAATGTACATATTTATAACAATGTTCATAACTTTTCATTTATCCAAAGAATTTTAAGTTGTAATTTAATTTTGATTGTGTCTGTTTTATTTTATTTATTCCTTTCTCTTCCAACTACTGACTGCATGACCTACTATACTGCTGACAAGGTGGGAATGATGTTCTATCACCCAAGTCTCATAGTTTTAAGAAATAGAGTTTTTTTATCGTGTTAATATTTAAACATTAAATAAAGACTATTTTTTGGGACTGGGGTTTCCATTGTATTTAGCAGAACTTTGGTCTCTAATTATAATAATAAAGATGAATGAAATTTTTGGTAATTTTGGACCACAGAAAGTGGTCTTTAATTGGATGTGATCTTTAATTGGAGGGGTCTTTAGTTAGAGGGAGACCTGAATTACATAAAATTCCATGTCTTTGACATAATTGTACTTAAGATGATCTACAGTCCTTTCTCTTCCCATCTCACAGGATCGAGTGTATGTACAACAAAATGGTGTTGACAACGTTTACAATCAAGGCCTAAAAATATTCCGTACTCAGGTAGTCCGTCATGGTAACATTCGGGAACATCTCCGCCAGACACTCCTAGAGCTTGTGATGAAGGAAAGGCGTGGAGAGGTTGTGGATAGGTTAGTTATTAACACGTACCAATATTTTTTCATGTATTTTATTGTCTCATGTTACTGGATTAAATTATTGGTGCTCAAACCAAGATATTAGACAACATTAAACTTACCATAGAAGTTATATTATGATGTATAGTTAAGTAATTTTATTTGTTGTGGTAAATCTGGTGTTTTCGTGTCAGCAGCCGATATTTTTTCATGATGGTGGGTTTTCTTCTACGCCAATAAATAACTTTTATTTTAGGTCATCGTTATTGTTGAGTGGTGGATTCACACACACAAAAAAAATGTTGCCTAAGGAATGTTTCTATCTTTTATAATATTGAGTTGGCTTTCTCGCATCAGGCATATCTATCCCACACTCATCTGATGTCCACTAAAATATAAACAAACATGTTGTTATTGCTGTGATTGGCTGTTTTACAGTACAGTATAGCCATTTCCTCAGTTTTTTTTTAGATACATGCTGACAGTAAAGTGGGTTTACTCCAGAGGCCCTGCCCAGACTAGTAAATTTTATTTGACAAAACATGTGACATACCTAAATATGGTCATGATTACATATGACCATATATAGGCACATTATGACTATATATGGGCATACAACAGTTTTTTTTTTTCAAGAAAATTTGATAGTCTAGACAGAGCTCAAGCTTGCTGTATCATGTACTTGAATGCACTATGTGGTAATGTCACCTATAATGTGGAAGTATTTAGTTGTAATACTTAATAGCAGTAAGGTTTCGCATGAATGATTATGATGAGGTCAAGCCTTAAGCTGGTCACATTTGTTGTGACCTTGTGAGCTTGGGTGTCTACCTTTGGCTCTGTTCGCCTTCAAGTGTATACAGTACATGCCTGGTACAGTTGGTGGATCTGAGTTATTTGAAATAAAAATTAATCCGTGCTTAAGGGACGTTTCGCTAAGCCCTACCTCTTGGATATTGTTTCTTAGGTCCCTGGAACAACAGCGTAAATGTACGTAAACGTGTGTGTTTGTGGGAGAGCATGTGTGTGTTTGTAGGACGTGCGTGTTTTACTGGCCCTGTTTTGATTAGTCAAATATTAAGTGTGATCGACACTCCGGAAAAGTCCATTATTATGCACAAGATACCCCTTAAGGAGTGCAGCATTGATTGATTTTGTATCCAAAACTTGACGTGTCTTGCTATACCTGTATTTGCTGGCTCTCTTGCAAGAATTCATTTGACTATCATTTGACTTACAAATTTATACGCAAGTGGGTGGTATTCGGATTTCGTTTAATATTATCTGAGATTGAGAGAGGTCTTATTGGCTGTACAATGTCTGAACTGAAGATAAAAGGTTACTCTAAAGATAAATATATTACTATAAATTTGTATCTGAAATAACCAGAGTATCGTAGTGCATAACATGAGGCATTTTTGAAAGACAGTGAATTTTTTGCAATTATTTTGTTGTTACAAAATTAGGAAATAATTAGTTAATTAGTTTAATTAACTGTCTACTGTAGGAAAGGGGTTCTTTCCGTGGATTACAGTACTGCATAAGCTATTGATTATTAATAACCGGCCAGACATGGTACTACGTTTTACCTGGTGCTAACCATGAAAAATCAAAATTTGAGCACTCTATGAAATTTTACATTAACAATTTTTAGTAGCATGATAATAGCAAACAGTGCTCAGGTCACTCAAAAGAAAATGACACGTGAAACTAATAATAACCTAAAACTAGCTTGTCCAACATGCATACTGTAGACATCGCCAGAAAGTATGTCACTGCACCTTGGGCCAGAAATTTATGTGTAAAAGTAAGGTAAAAGCAGGCCAGTACACAACTTAGTAATGATAGTTTCTATCTAGTAATGAATTGAAGTTCTCAAGAAATTGACAATGAACTAAGCACTCATATCTCATACGCTGGCTAAAACATATGACCTGTCACCTCATGAATTTGCGGGCCTGGAGTTTGTCACCAGCACAGAATGCTTTTGTGCTGGCATATAATATAATTCTTTATACCTTGTTTAGTGAACCCGCCGAACGTAAATATTGATGATTTCTAATAAAATTTAAATTTAATTTTTGGTCAATTAGCTAGCACACTCGCCGCCACAAAAAATGGAATGTTTAGGGAAAAAAAATTTTTAACAAATTTTTATTATGCCCTCCGCTGCAGTGAATTCTCCAAAGATAAGATACCTGTATATTTCTTTCTTTAAATTACATAAATTTGAAGCATTTAACCATCCCATTTTACATTCAATAATAAAATTTTATTTTTATTTTCTCCTCCATCTGGATGTTTTGGTAAAACTATTTGCGAAATAGGAAAACAAAATTTTATTTTTATTCCGCCCTCCTCCGATGATATTAAAAAAAATAAGTATGCGAAACAAGGAATAAAAAAAGTCTCGCCTTAACAGAGGTAGTTTGTAACTTTCACCTTATGACGTCTTAAATAAAGGCAAAAAGGTACCTGGCAATGAAGTAACGTAAAATCTGAATGATGTGTTTAATTGGTTCCTAGGATAATTTTCTATGTCTATGTAGTATAAATTTATGTGTGTGTGTGTTTTTTATCTTAAATTATTCTGGGTACATATGTTAATTATTTATTTCTTATGTTCTGTGTTGCTGTGCCTCAAAGTAAAGCTTGTTTGTGTCAATGGCACATAGTAAATGGTTGTTGAACTTTACTATTTTTCATGATAGAGCTCCATACCATTTCAAATTTATAGGCTAAAACTTACAGTGATGGATTTGTTATTCTTTTGCAGTATGTTCTGACATAAACGTAAAAGGCATTAGTTTAACGTTGTGCTCTTAATCCCACACTACAGTCGGGTCATAGGAAGTAGTACTGTCTACAGTTTATACCAGGATATACTATAAATGCAATAAAACTAATCTTTATAAACTGTGGTGAATGTTTCTGAATTTTACGAGACATTCACACTTGGCAAACTTTTAGTTTAGTAATTTACTGTTTTTCCAATTGCTAACGTGACAGCTGACTTCATGTCCGAGTCTTTGACCCTTAAGCCTGATATGTTGTACAGTGGCATATCTAGAAGTCTTGGAATGGTAGGAGCGTGAAGGTAAAGTGGGGGCCTCGATGATAAAGTTAGGGGTGCTAGATCGCAAAATAGGGTGATTTTAAGTTTTTGAGTATGAAGTTTAAGCTTTGAACATTTTCAATGAGGGTGCTGAGTGGGGAAGCAACTTTTATTTTTTGGGAGGGGTGGTGTGCGCCACCCACACACACCCTAAATACCCCACTTATATTGTATCTTGGCAAGTTACAATTACCATACCACAATATTAATAACCCTTGGCTACTAACCTGAATAGGAAGTACATAATACTGTATATGAAATAAGAAACTGTAGGCCCTACTTTCATTTGCACAATCAAATCATTTTATTTTTTTTGGATTTTGCCATCTGGATCCAATAATACTTTAATTATTTTAAAAAATTAGAGCACTTTCTTTAGTACAGTATAGGTACCAGTTCCTAAAAAGGACAGATTTAAGACAAATTTTTAAAATTACACATGGATGATATTACAAAAATCTAAATCTCTTCCGTGCAGAATTCAGCATGAGTCTTGCCTGAAGGTACTCCCCTTTGTACCATGACTTTGCAGGTTCTGCGGAGTCTGAGCAAAAGTCGTAGCCAAGGTTTTTAGCTGTTAATATCTGGCAGGAAATTTGGTTATGTTTAAGTGGTCACCCATAGGAATATGTTGTGAATTGCACAGGTATCCCATTGCTAGTTGATTTGCTGTTTGAGCTGATTGATAGGTTCCTTCTTAAGTCTGCCAACTGGTGTCAAAATCTGTAAATTATGTTAAGAATGGCAACTACAGTTATCCTTGACAGGTTTGACTTGGTGCTGAACTAGGTCGATTCTTGTCAACATGGCTAGCAGCCTGCCTTTAAACAAAATTGTCAAATCATGATTTAATACAATTCATAGTAAATTAAATACATAGTTTAAATGAATGGCCATAGTTGATTATAAAGTATAATTATAGGCTTTTAGAAAAAGGCTTTTGGTTTCTGTTCAAGTATAAGTTCAGTGTCTACATTAGCTATCGTATTGTTTTACAGAAGTGGAGCTGAATTACAAACATACAAAATTTAAAGTCAAATGATCTCAGTTATAAATGATTAATTTTTCTCAATGGAAAAACCTTCAAATATGTACAGAAAAAAAATATCATTGTTAATAATTGACGAACTATCACTCCAATTATATTATTGGATGATTGTTTCCAAAAAAACAACACTGCTGTTGAAAGTTACGCATGGTTTGATAGTCAATGGTGTTGAAATAAGGGGAAAGACTCCCCAAAAATTTGATTTAAAAAATGTATAATTTTATTTTAAATATATTTAATTGATTTGATGATTTTCATTGAAATACCATACAGATCGAAAACAATCACTTCACTGTATAACAAAATACTGAAAATTGATTCTCAGCCAATTCATGCAAAAGAATACAGGAACTGTAAAATTTAAATGTGTTCCTAGAATTTATAAGACATGTTTTTCTTGTCTAATTTTCAATTTAAAGCTAATTTAACTCACTTCATTACATTGCATAAACAATTCAGATGGTGAATTCAATTGTTCAAGATTTTTGTATTTCATCACAGGTCTTAAACTGAAATGTTTATAACCAAATTAAAGCCTCTTGAGTAAGTAATATTTTAATTAAAATTAAAATGTTAGTTTTAATTTAAGTATACTAAAAAAATCCTCCAGCATGCTTTACAAATGAAGGACAGGGAAAGAATGAAAGGGGGAAACCCTGTAAAACCTTTACAACCCAGATATAACCACTTGAAAGCAGAATTACTACTACTGTACTACTGTATAAAAAAAGATTTTTAAAACAAACCCAGTATTCACTCTCAGATTTCACTAATCAACTAAAGCGAATTTATTTAACTGTTGTGTACTTTAAACAATTCTATTATTTAAAAACCAAATTGTCATTGAATATTTAGGGTATTGGTACAGATACTTGTGCTTGCAATGTGCTTGGTGTCTTGGGCTTGAAAACAATGTTGCATTGTACTGTATACAGTAGTATTACTATACTGTAAGTCATCGGGTGTTGTACTGTACCTATCACCGCCCACGTCGGTTCTATCAAGGATTTTGGAAATGGTGAATCAAAATACATTGTCTGGACTGCCAAGAAATACAGATTCTCAAACAGGGATTTATTAATTTTTTTGCAATTTTAAATGTCATCCATGGAAGGTTGTTCTACAGCTTTATTTGTCTACAGTATCATAATGATCATTTTGTGATGGTGAAATTTATTGAGGATTGTTTCATTGGAACATTTTAATTATTAGTTGTAGTACATAGAAATTGTACAGTATTTAATGATCTATTAATATTAATTAGATTGAATAAAAAATGAAAATTATTAGAATTTATAATAATTAATACTCATCTGGTTCTGTTGGTATATGTACAATACATGATATAATAATAACTGTTGGGGTGGTTTAAGCACATCACACATACTGTACCTGGCCAGGCCATGCTCTGTTGATATAGGTGAATGGAATGCCCTCTAAGGAGATGATATTCAACAGATCTAAGTGAATTTAATAGTATGAGAATATGGTACAACCATGTACAGAATATTGTCATCATTATCATATTATTATCATTATCATCTCAGTTTATCATGTATTAATATCCACATCATGCTGTAGCTGTAATATTCATTTGATATTGTTAAGCAAGATGATATTCTTTTAGTGTACTGTATACTGTACTACTTGGGATCTAAAAGGTTTATTTGCATTAACTGGATGTAGAGTAGTACATGTCAGCTTACCATGTTACTACTTACTAAATGAATCTGAAAATTATTTATGGAATCTGAGTCTCTTCAAGGATATTAGAGCAAATGTTATTGTTAATGCACCATGCTGTGACATACGGGAATCAACGTCTTGCGATAGAGTTTTCAAAATTACACAGTACTGTAAAAATAACCAGCCTTTAGCTATAGATAGTTTAGTTAGTTTTCTAAAATTTCAGTTTAAAACCATGAAAAAATAGCATGCTGTAACATTTTCATCCAATATGTTTAAACAGAGTCTTCTTTTGCATAGTTTATAAACTATAATCTCCTGTGTTAATATTTAAATAGCGCTCATATTTGCACTTGAGGGCAAATGTTTCCTAGACTATTTTTAGTATTTGAAAATACCTTCCTGTTCTGCTGACATCTGTATCCCGATATAGATGTAATCTAGACCTAATGTAAGACCAACTGTCTGGCAAGGTTTAGTGCTCAAGCCAAATTCTAGCTAATAATAATATCCCAATAGAGACTTTTGTGTGTTTAAGGCTGTTGATTAGGTTTAGTATTGATGGAGAACACATTTGCAGCACCGAAATTAGCAAGGGCTAATTACTGCTTTGATATCTGTATGTTGCATTGTTTTACTGAATTAGTTTTCATTATTAATTCAATTATGTTAAAACAAGCTCAAATTGTTGTTAGTTCTTGAGCGAATTACATGGACTTGCAATGATTTGCTGACTGTATGATACTCTGGGCAAGATGTCATAAATATGAGAAGTTGTTTGTTGTATTAAAAGCATACAGTACCTAATTTATTCCAACTTTACTGTTTGCAATATATTAAAAATGCAATAGAATTCATTCATTAGTACTTGAAATGTTGAAAATAGGACTAAGTAGCTGTAATATTTTAAAAACAATTATAAACTGTGTAAAAAAGTTCATACAGTGTATGCACCACAAACTGTAAATAATAGCATTTCACTTAAACATATTTATGAAAAGCAAAGTTTTAATATTCAGGACATTTTCATAATTGCAGGTGTCCCTCCAATGAAAACCCACCTCTTATTAAAGACCACTTTTCTTCAGCTTTTTATAAACAAATACCTCTTATTTTTATGATATTTTTTTTCTAAAACCAAAGCTACTAAAGGCCATGGAAATACTTGTTCCCAAAAGTGGTCTTTACTTGTAGTTAACGAAATCCTAAATTGCTAATAGTGTATTATTTTTAAAAACAAGTGGATAAAAGTATCTTATCATTTTGTTTTGACCTGTACAAGTCAGTCAATTAATTATTCTATCAATCAGTCAGTGGGCCTTCCCACTAAGCCCCGCCCCCCGGGATATTGTTGCTAAGGTCCCACAAGACGACAGTGTTGAAACATGCGTGAGCATGTGTGTTTGTGGGGCAACACGTATTTGAGACGTGTGAGTATTCATAGCGCTGTTCTGATTGGTTAGTTGTTAAGTTTTACTGTATTGACACTCCGGAAAGGTGTACAGTAGAACCCAACCCCTCATTTACGTACGGCACGTTCCCAGAGCCGTTCGTAAATGCAGGTATTCGTAAAATCGGGGTTGACCCAAATTCCTATATATTTGCACTGGTACTACTTACACTGGCATAAACTAGGCCTACAGGCCTACGCAGCTAGGTCTGAGGGGGCCTAGGCCTACAGTAGGCAGCTTCTAAGCATTCTGATCCCACTCTAGGCCCTGCACAAATTTGTTTTTATCGGACATTTTTACCTTCTTAAATACCTAGATTGTGGATTTTACTCCAACACAACTTCCATAGATACTTGTTTATTATATTGATCATTCAATAAAACAATCAAGCACTATGTTGAATTTTAAAGCTTAAAACGATGTTTGAAAGAGAAGTAAAATTTGTCGCATGCACATGTATGAAGCCATAAAAAACACTGACTTTGAAGAGGCCCGTTAGAGGGCCTCTTTCACTTGAGAATTACATAGTACTGTATAGTATGGTATGTTGTGTTGTATGCATGCTAATAACAGTTACAATTCGAGCGGATTTTTTTTTTTTTTTAAATCTTTCACTTAAATTTTTATGATGTCATCACCTTTATTTTACGTTCGTAAAATCGGGAATTCGTTAAATCAGGGTTCGTAAATGAGGGTTTCTACTGTATTATATTCTCTTTATTGACTCTAAATAATCAAAATTTAATTAACCACTTTAATCAACAACGCATCCACCGGTCGGTAACTCTGTTGGCCAACCAATCACTTGCTGCTCTGTGCTATTGCTTGACGCTGCGACGCCCTCTTCTGATTGTCGGAGCAATCTGAGCGGATTGTCGCTGAAAATTATCTGTACCATTGCGTGCTCCTCATCGCATGGCTATCACCATTGCATCGGTTGACATCCGTCCATGTAGTGTTTGGTCTGCCTTGCAATTCATCCCTAGTAGGCATATCTGTCAAGGCTTGATGTAGCGCCTCAGAGAAAATTTATTTTGTTTTTTGGTTCTGCTAATTACTCAGATGTGCTTTATTTATTTTATTATATTGATATATCAATATAAACAGCAAATCTTGAATTTGATTATTGTTTTCTGATATTGCAGGGGAGCTGTTCGTAATGCATGCCAGATGTTAATGATGCTAGGTATTGAATCAAGAACTGTTTATGAAGAGGACTTTGAGAAGCCATTCTTGCAGCAGTCAGCAGAGTTTTATAGGGTAGTTAGTAATTGACTTACTTCCATACTAGTTTGTACTCTAGAGGGCAATGTTGTCCTTTAATAGACTTTTTGGATTTTGTGGATGCTGGTGTCAACAATGGTATATATTATTATGATGTTGCACCTGAAATGAGCTTTGCATTACAAAAGTTGGGACTGATATTACACTAGTAATTTTGTTGGGGATTTATTCATGGATTCTCTTATGTTTTTGGCTCCCATTTATGGGCTGGATGTAATTTCTAGCCATTGTACTCTTACTTGTGCTGCTTTCAATGCTTCTTTATAGACTATATTGTGGCTTGATCAGTATATTTTCTTTCAATTTCTTAGAATGAAAGCCAGAATTTTCTAGCGGAGAACAGTGCGTCTGTGTACATCAAGAAAGTAGAAGCAAGGATCAATGAAGAGGCAGAGAGGGCGTCCCACTACCTAGACAAGTCAACGGAGGTGCACATTGTAGGCGTGCTGGAGGAGGAGCTAATTAGTAAACATATGAAAACAATTGTTGAGGTACATTGCTTAATCAGTTTTTTTGAGTACTTGAAAAATTATTATGCGTTTTAGTTGCAATAGTATTTATTAGAACAGATCACAAATTACAACCCCAGAATCCCCCACTGTCATGTAAGTTATGCTGACTTCTGTGTTTCAATTTAGATGGAAAATTCTGGAGCTGTTCATATGCTCAAGAACAATAAGAAAGAAGGTACAGTATATTTTTGTTTATGCAAAATCAACATAGGTAATTTATCTAGTGAAAACTAATTGTGTGTGAGTGTAATCTCTTTGAGGCTTCAGTTGAGTTGTTTTGGTTGAGAGGCAAGTCCAGGAGCAGATTGCCATGAAACTGTCCGAAACATCTAGTTATTTACTGGTCAATAATATCCAGCTTCATTGCATAGAATGCAGTCAACAAAGTGTGCCTGGATTATCTATTCAGTAAAATAATTCTTCTTTTCCACTTCAGATTTAGCTTGTATGTACAAGTTGTTCAAGCGAGTGAAAGATGGTCTTAAGACAATGTGCGAATGTGTGAGTGGTTACCTACGAGAGCAAGGCAAAGTACTTGTCCAAGAAGAGGACGGAGGCAAGAACCCGGTCCAATATGTCAAGGTACAAAATCAGTTAGTCTTCCTATATAGCAGTGTTCATTATATAAAAAAAAACAGAAACAAATTTTTTGAATTATCTCCAAACAATCCTCATATTGATCTTCTTGTTATTTCTCCAGACATCATTTCTGTTCTTCACTCAAAATCTCCATATTGTTTATGCACAGTTAACAAAAACAAATGGACGACATAAATTATGTTGCTACTTTCTTTATTTGAAAATGAAGTACAGGTCTCCCTATAATTAAATATCCCTCCAATAACATACTACTTTTCTGTGGTCCCAACTTACCAAATGCCTTTTATCTTTATTATTCTAAAGACCATGGAAACCGCAGTCCCAAAAGTGATCTTTAATTGGAGGGAGACCTGTACCTATAGTAATATATTCTCTACTTCTGTTTATAATTTTACTCCTTACCAGTATTTTTTTTAAATTCTTTTAACAATTTAGCTTTAATTGGTTTTATGCTGTAGTTGGTTTTTTTTTTGTTTTTTTTTGTTAATTATTTTTCACTGTTATTCCCTTGCTTCTTCCAGGATTTACTTGACCTCAAAGACAGATTTGACGAGTTCCTTCATGAATCGTTTGGAGATGACAAGATCTTCAAGCAAACCATCTCAGGAGATTTTGAATACTTTCTCAATCTAAATCCAAAGTCGCCCGAGTATCTATCCCTCTTTATTGATGATAAACTCAAGAAGGGAGTTAAAGGGGTAAGTAACACAAGACATTGATAAACATTCTTATTTAAAGACCATTTTATTAAATTGTTGTTACATCTTTATGCAGTTATTCCTATTTGTATTATAGTTAATACAGTATCATTTGTACATGAGGCTTGCCATCTCAAAACCAGCGTACTGTCGCTAAATGTTAAACTACATAATGAGCATAAGAATGTGACAGTATTGTTTACTTTAGGACGAAGAAGCCATAATATACTCATAACTTTGGCAATAGTAAGTGGATTCCAGTAAATGACCTATCATTTTAAAGATTATAATGTGGAGAATATGAATATATTAAAAAGTTAATTTTCTTGTTTTTTTTTCACTGATGCTGGTTTTGGCATGGCAACCCTGATATATAATGGGTTTTCATTGTATTATTATTATTTCAATAAGATTTATATAACTAAGTTGTTTTGGATAAGTAATAATTATTCGCTTATACCAACAAGGATTAACAGGACCCGTAGCATTGGAGGGTGGGGTTTCAGGGGCGGATCCAGAGATGTCCAAAAGGGGGGGCCCGAAAGGGGGGCCGATCGAGACAACACTGGAATAGGAGGTCCGGGGGCATGCCCCCGCGAATTTCTGTGTTTTAGACGCCCGAAAATAACATTTGAGGCCTTCTGGGCTGTCGTTTTTTCTTTCTCTTTTTTTCTTTTTTTTTTTTTCTTTTTTTTACCTCCCAAAAGGGTGGGCCGGGCCGCCCCCCCCCCCTAAATAAAGGGGGTTACGACATACTGCCCAAAAACTGGAGAAGGTCCACATTTAAAAACGAAAAATTAATATCTGTAGATATATTTACAATGTTCTCCAGAGTATTGGAGATCATATAAGCCAAAGGGTCAACTTTCCACTGAAGTGAACCTCCCACAAATTAAGTCATGCTACAGGCCTGTTAAATAATGATGTTCATGTACTTTACAGCTTACAGAACAGGAGGTAGAGGCAATTCTAGACAAGACAATGGTTCTCTTCCGATTCCTACAAGAAAAGGATGTCTTTGAACGGTACTATAAACAGCATCTAGCTAAACGACTTCTACTCAACAAAAGCGTATCTGACGATTCAGAGAAAAATATGATCTCAAAATTAAAGGTAAACAAACCTTACTTTGTAATGTGTGCTTGGTGTTTGGTAGATTTGAGTGGTAGTGCTCTGCTAACTGAATACCCTCGTCCTCTGTCAAATGTTATGTAATAAATACCCACTTGCCTATATATGGGTATCTGAATACCCTTCTCCATCAAATATTATGTAATAAATACCCATTTGCACATATATGGGTATGATATTAACATCGTCAGGCCCATATATGATGATTGTTTATTGTTGTTCTTTGTTTTGTGAGTATTGTTTTGATTCAGCTTACCTTTTTGTTAGTTTGAAGGAATTCAGTGCAATGCTGCAATGTCAAATTTTATTGTTTTAATAATAAACCATAATGAGTGAATGAATAATATGACATGCCCATGAGGCATGTTGTGACGAAATGGTTAAGTTGTCGCACAGGACAGTATTGAGTAAATGAACTTTAAAATATGGGAGCTCAAAGAATTTTTCTATAGATCGACAGTTTAATGTCTTATTAATCATGTCCCAAAGTATTAGTTCTGGGAGTGGTCAATAAATTGTTTATTCAATGTTATTTTGATAGTTCATTCTATTAAACAATGTATGCACAAATAACTTTGAAAGGCAATAATACCAAAATCATGTTTATCTTGACTCTAACAGTCCTGTACTTTCACTTTCCAATAATTTAAGCTTGAAATGTCCAATTTCAATGGATGACCCTTCATTTTAAAGATCACATAATCTATTCAGGTATCTGAAAATACCAGTAACTTGAATTTCAATTTTTGCTACAACTTAGCCATCTTGCCACAACATGTCTCGTATGTGTACACAAATTTGTCACATATTTTGATAATGCGAATACAGCTTAAGGGAGTCGAGCATGTGATCCCAGACGCTATTATAATCGAGCATAATTCGTAAGAACTATGTCAATTTGATTGCACTTTTCAGACTGAGTGTGGCTGCCAGTTCACTTCAAAACTCGAAGGCATGTTTAAAGATATGACAGTTTCAAACACATTCATGGAAGACTTTAGACAGCACGTCCAAAACAGTGGGGTAAGAGACGAGCAGAAAACAGTGAAGCATGCTACCAAGTGCAAAAATTGATAATCGATATGTTACAATATAAAATTATTGTCAACTTAATAAAACCTTGATTATAAATTATATTAAACACTTGCATAACAAATTTCTAGGATATATGTATTGAAGAATAAATAGGATGAAGGAACAATTTGACCAAAATTTGTGTTTGATTTTTAATTACCTGTTTCACAACAGTAGTAAAAATTATTGTTAAGTTTTCGATCACATGATGGGATTTGAATGACATCATAACCATTAATTTGATCATTACCAACCAATTTTGTAGGTTTTAGATCACAGAGATGATTCAAAACTTCATGATAGACATCAAATTATTTCTGCCAATTCTCAAATTGTCTTCTAATTATAAGCCAAAATTAAAGCAATTACAAATTCATTATACATCCAACAGAAGTACACTCGTTACTTATACCCTACCAACTAAGTCTCTTTATAATGCTTAGGAAGTGGAGTTGTTTATTAGTCGTTAGAAAAAATATCCTTTGGTTTCAATAAGACTTGAATTCAGAACCCTATTTTTGGAGGCAAGCATCTTAACCACCAACCTGCAGCTCACTGGTGTTTAATTTTAATCATGTCAGGATTTGTGTGATGCATATTCCAATGATCAGAGATTTTTTTGTGGTTTCATTGGTTGCGGTTTGTGCTTGGCCATGAAGTCGGGGGTTCAAACGCTGTCCGTTGCATGTGTAACTACTTTAAGCATTTTATCTATTGCTTGTTTCCCTTTGACAAGTATAAATAGGTATACATGCTAAATGTAGGTAATGTATTGATTGACAAGTATATTTGTGCAGTTTATAGATTCGTCATCTCAAACATGATCATCATCATCTCTGCTACCATCCATAATGATAATTATTGTAATCACTGATGTCGTCATCGTCGTCATCATCATTGTTATAATTATTTCATCATCATCATCGTCATTATCATCATGCATTTCAGAATTTTTAAAAAGACACCAGACAAATGCACGTTTTTTTCTGCACTTAATTGAACACCAGTTAGAAAAATCCAGTTGACTTAAAGAGTTAATTTTTGCAATAAGTAAATGTAAGATTATTTTTTGTCAATTGCTATCTCAATCATACAGCTGATAACCATTACTCTATGCACAGACCATTTTTTTTGTTTTTGTTTGTTTTTTAAAATTTTATGTTTTGAGGAGTGTACATACATCAAAATAAAGTCTTCCTCGTCTCTTGTGTGATAGTCCGTAAACGTTTTGGAAATCCATAAATACTTTTATAGACGTAAAATTGGTTGTGATTAAAAAACAAATTGTTGAGTATTAAAATTACATACTATATACGAGTTTAATATCCCAATTAGGACTTACAGGAAATGCTTTACTAAATATAGTTCACAGTGCTTTCATTTCTGTCTTCATTTTGGTTCCAGCTGAACCTGTCCGGTGTTGATTTAACAGTACGTGTATTGACGACAGGTTTCTGGCCCACGCAGTCGGCTCCACAGTGCAATGTACCGACGCAACCTAGATATGCATTTGATCACTTCAAAAGGTAAGTAGTTTGGAATGATGCTTCATGATAGATGTTTAAAAAAAGAAGTGAATTCTGTGATAAAATTTATGGAGGAACATGAATTCATTACATATACTATGCTAGGACAGACGGACGATTCCATTTATATTTTGAAGATAAGTTCCGCTAAAGAAAACTTCAGCGCTAGCGGTATCTCACTCATAGGCTACGAAAATCACTGCAGATTTGTGTGATTTTTAAAATTTAGTTCTGTGACTATAAGGTTATACAGGTTAATTAAAATTTGAATTTTGTTTTTCTTTGCTTTTGTATGTTATTAAACTAATAAATGATTAACACGCAAAAAATAATTTTGTTTATATGATAGTTTTATATCTTAACCCATATCATGTTTCCTTTCCACCTCCAACCTTTCAGATTTTACCTTACCAAGCATACAGGTAGACAGATCTCCCTCCAAGCGGCGCTAGGCTCAGCAGATTTGCATGCAGTCTTCTATGGTTCCAAGAAGGAAACCACTACAAAACCCGAGCCTAGGAAACATATACTGCAAGTGTCCACATACCAAATGTGTGTCCTGATGCTATTCAACACAAAGGAAAACTGGACTTATGAAGAAGTGAAACAGGAAACCGATATACCGGAAAAGGACCTTGTGAGGGCGCTGCAATCACTTGCTCTGGGCAAGCCAGCTCAGAGGATTTTGAGCAAGGAACCCAAGTCCAGAGAAATTGGTAAGAAAATTCAAAAAATATGTTGATAATTGTTTTATAGTTAGACTGTTTGTGATTGAATTGGTAAAACCTTCAATCATTAATTTTAACAGTTTTTTGCTTAATTCAAATATAAGCAAGTTTAGCTATCAATTTTAAATGAAACTAAAGTCCAAACAAATTCAGTTTTTTTTTTTTTTGCCATTTTCTCTGTTATTGGGCAAGCAAACTTTTTTTAATTACATACAGAGTAATTGAGTTATTCAATTATTAAATTATAAAAAAAAACAAACATAGTATATTTTTAATTTACTTTAAGTGTTGATACTAATTTTTAAAATTTGTTTGCTTTTCAGAGGGGGATCATATCTTTTCCATCAATGATACATTCACGTCCAAGTTGTTCCGAGTCAAAATTCAAACAGGTAAATCCTATTTGTTTGTTACGTTTAATATCTGATCCATGCGAACGTTTAATGTTGTTATGATGTGGGAGCTGTGTGTGTATTATAAAGATATTACTTTTTTCCAGGTAATTTCAGGGAGATGCTTTAAGACTTACTATAAATATTCAATTCTAATATTTCTATTAATATTATTTTTATTGTTATTAAATTATTATTATTTTTTACTTCCTTTTCACATCCAACAGCAAGCAAACTTGCCACTTATAAACTAAGGCTACATTCAGACTTGGAGATAAGTCAGGCTTACGTTAAGCTATTCAGACTAGCTGGATTAGCCAGCCAAGTTAAATTTGCATATTCATGAACCGGAACCAGGAAAAGTGTTTTCAAAAAATTGTGCGCGAGACGTACGTTCGCTCACAGCAATTGTAAATTAATGCCGATTGGTCAATCTTTTATCTGAGGTCAACTCGGGGACCCCCTCCCCCACAGCGATTAAAGCCTGGCGCAGAAAAGTTAAACCGGGTGGCACGCCAGGCCTAGTTACTTTAGAAACAATGCCCCAGCTTGAGATAAGCCACCTAGTTCAGACTGGAAGCTGCCAGGTTTATCCACCTAGTCTGAACTAGGCCTAGGGCTAAGTCTCTTTTATGAGGCATAGGGAGTAGTTGTTTTAGTTGTGAGAAAAAAACCCAGGACCCTGGGACTGGAAAGCAAGCATCTTAACCACCAATTCTACACCTCCAATATTATTATTTATTCCATTAACGAAATTATCAAGATCAGTCGTTCAGTTGTTAACGTTTTGTTTTACTTGTTTATTTTAGTCGCTGCCAAAGGGGAATCTGAACCAGAGAGAAAGGAGACAAGGTCACGAGTCGATGAAGACAGAAAGCATGAATATCCTTTATTTACCATGTTATAAATTGCAGTGAAAATTTTTGTTGTTTGTTTGTTTGTTGTATGCCATTTTATTCACAAACACATTTTGTATCTGAATATAGCACTCCATTAAAGTGGTGAAGTGGTCACCAGATCTTCAAAATGATTAACATTTTTATATACCTATCTGATAGTTTCCTATTATTACCATTGTCAAAAATAGTTAAATTCCTTAATTCAAAGACTTACGATTGAAGCTGCAATTGTACGGATAATGAAGTCAAGAAAACGACGACAACACAACATCCTAGTATCAGAAGTGACAGAGCAACTGAAGTCTAGATTTCTTCCGAGCCCAGTAGTTATAAAGAAGAGGATAGAGAGCTTGATAGAAAGAGAATACCTAGCTAGGACACCCGAGGACAGGTAAGTCACATGTATACACTAGAACTCCCAATAAAGGGTCATTCTCGGGACCAAATAATGTGTCCTCTTAATCACGTTACCTGAATGGGGGTTGGCCCCCCAATTTGCAGCCAAAATAGTGTGCCCATAATAGGGCCCTGCTGTATTGAAAATAATGGTATATAGGATGGGATTTTCATTGCTTAAAACTGTTATAGAAGTTGTAAATTGTAAATTTAATTACCAGTGGCGGATCCAGGAATCAAAACTAGAGAGCGCAGAAAATCAGTTTTACAGATGAAGCGTCGATATTACCACACCCCTACCAAGCTGGCTGCCCCCCCCCCCACTGCTTAAATTCGCCTATGAATACCATACATGCAACTGATTAAGTTATGCCCTTAATGGAAAGATTCAAGGAATTTACCAAATTAGCCTCCAAACTGACAAAGCAACCAAATATAGGAGTGGTTGGTGCAATTCTGTTTCTCAGTGTTGCAGGTTTGGTTTTGTCTTTTCATATACAAACTAAATTTTATTTACATACTATTTTTAAATTCATTTTCAGAAAAATCTACACTTATGTAGCTTAAGGAATCGTGGACGTCATTTTACATGGAATTCCTTCAGTCTGAAACCAATCTTTAAAATGGATTTACTACGATTCAAGAGTAAATGATGCTTTAGTAGAAGAAACTCATTTATAGAATCATTGGGTTGTTTGATGATTTAATCAAACAGTTTCAAAAGGCATTAACATAACATACTGGAGAATGATACATGTGTACAGTGTATTTTATTCTATTAAGCATCTTTTTTGTATTCCAAGATTACAGAGTTTTGATTGGTTAATTAATGTGTTGATGCTGTCAGTAACTATAAAAGGTTGTAGTACCTGTCAGTGATGCTAACTTTGTTGCCATGGGAAGACTTTAGCAACAATGGGGAAGTGTCTGAAACAGGCTTAACAAGATGAGTATGAATTTGAAAAGGAGTGAATAGGCTTGAGGTAGCTTTGTGCAGAAAATCAAGCAATTTGGTTTTTAAGCCCAGCTACAACTTTGGGACACATGAAGTTGATGGCCATTAGGTCTAAATATCAAAACGTGGAGGTTGATGATACAGCATGTAGATATAAAGAAATTAATAAGTTAGCACAAGATCCATTCGTAAACCAAGTATGACGACGATATCTTAATTTGGAATGGAACGCGACATAGAATTGCACATCAGTTAGATTCTTCTATTCTAACACAGTGGTTTAAATCATGCCAATAATGCATACAGTAGATGAAATGCTAATATATTCTTCTATGCTGATTATATACCATAGAGGTATAAATAATTCATTAATCTGCCATGAAGCATTCATCATTTGCAAACCTTAATCAAATTCTAGAAAACATTTTGAAACTAATGATTTTAGCAAATGTTATTTTCCACCGTTTGAACCTAAAACATAATTATAATTGGTACTAAATCTATAATAGGCATATAATCACATTCAATTAAAAACCTTTTAGGGGCTTCTCAGAATTTCATGGAACAGTGGATTTTAACATCTGCATCTAGGCATGCATTGTGTAGATAAATCCAATTCCAATCTCTGTGAACACTTGATGCGACGTCATCTGGGCTAGGCCAGTGGAAGTCTGAACGAAGTTGATATTGCATGCATGCCTCATCACATTTCTTTCTTCAGAGAATCGCATCGGCTGATGGTTGTTACCTCAGCCTGACTTAAAAGAACTTCTAAGCTACATAGATAATCACTCACTATAAGACTATTCATGTAATTACTAGCCAGCAGTTACAGTGGTACTAGAGATTTCTGATGGCAGATCCAAGGTCTTTCACAAGGGTCCTCGGCCACACCTTGTTTGCCATAACAACCATTAACTATACTATAATGTTGATTTGACAATAGACATACTGTAATTAGAAACCTGCTTTAACAAAAGGATTTTGTAACTTAAAGTAAGTGGCCTGTGAATCATACAGCATAGAAACACGCTTGAATTTATTCAACTTTCCATACTAGTACAACATTAATAAAGCTGTGTCTACTTCTACTTTTACGTTAAATCAAAAATACACATACTAGTAATATTTTGTTAATTTGTTCTTATCATTTAAACTCAGTAATTAGTTGTTTAATGTGAAATTGGGGATAACAAATTGAATGATACAAATTGACGTGTGTTCCTATCTGTAGGCTAGGCACCCATTTCCACCAGCTTACAGTGTTCAGTAGGTGCTTACCTGTTAGTTCCTTTATTTTCATATGATTATTTTATTCTTTTTATTTATTTTTTTTTCATGATTGAGGTGAATAATTATAAAATTGTTGGATTTAAGCTAGCATCTATACAGGATGAAATTTCTGATTGTATTTGGAAAGATCTGGCTAAAAAAAACATTTACAGTATATTACTTTGCTTGATTATAATCTCTAGACCTTACTGTTGGAAACTACGTAGATAGCGGTTTGATTTATCAAGCAGAACTAAAGCACCCTCAATGCCATATGTTAGTCACATGACAGGGATGCTCTATTGGTTTCTGAGCATTTGCTATTAAATCTTGTGAATAGGTACTGCCTCAAAATTTAAGAGGATTATGTATATACCACTTCAGTAAATAAAAATTAAAATATGTTGAATGCACTTTGCTGTGGTTGTGTGTCAATTTGTTATATATTTATGAAAGTTATTTTATTTTATTTATTACCTGTATTGACAGTTACCTTAATGGTTGCCATTTACTTATTACGCTGACAAAAAACATTAAAAAATATTGAGACATAACAAAAATTATTATTGGTAAAAAATGATAAAAATCATTATTTACTGACACCTGAAAGATTTGAGTGACCAAAGTAAATAGTTATTGAAACTACCGAAAGTGGAATTGATGACGACGCAGAGGTCTCCCTTCAATTAAAGACCACTTTTGGGACCAGCATTTATTTGATTTTAACGTGCCACTGAAATCACAGAAACTTAAGGAATTCCAGTAGAACATGTCAACAGGTGCCAGCACCGCTAAACTGACGTGTTCTCTGTGGTCTTCAGCAACTTTGGTCTCTAATTGTGAACTTAGAACCACAGGAAAGTGGTCTTTAATTGGAGGGGTCTTTCCTTAGATGGAGACCTATATAAGAAAATGGTTTATCATCCGAACAGTGATGGTTTGTACCTGCTTAGCCGAATACTCATTTATACTGTATAGGGCTTTCTATACAATATTCTAGCATTATGGTAATCGCCAACCATTTCTGTCTTCTCTGGTTTAAAAAAAATTGCGCTATTGTAAATTTATGCAGTTTAATGGATAAATTATCCATAGTTAATCCAACATAGAAAAAAGCCACACAAATTATAAACTACAGCTGTTTATTAAATTTGAATAATACAAATTAAACAATATAGTATAATACATACTCCAAGTATTGAAATCACGCCATCAACATTAATTATGTCATCATCAGGAATGTTAATTTTACAAATTAAACACACCAACACATTCAAGTAGATATTTACTTCATGAAAGCATACTTTTGCAGCAGTGATTACAATCTAATAATAATATTGTAATTGAAAGACTGATAAACTTTTCATTTTTAAACTACTTAAACACCTTGAAAGACAATTCCAGCATAGTTGTTAATGGGTAACATTGATTAGAAATTAATTTCCAAATGCTAATACAGGTCTCCCTCCAATTAAAGACCACTTTTGAGACTGGAGTTTCCATGGCAACTTTGGTTTCTAATTAGAATAACAAAGATAAAAGACATCTGTTAATTTGGAACCACAGAAAAGTGGTCTTAACTTGGAGGTGGTCTTTAATTGGAGAGGTCTTAAATTAGAGGTAGACCTGTACATCTTTAATTAGTTGATTTTATGTTTTATGATGAAACAAAGTAATAGTTGTGAATTATACTGAAAAGTTTTACTTACAATATACTGACACTGTGCGGATACTTGGGGCGAACTGGGATAAATATACACTAAAAGTATGAAAGCCTAACAATTAACTAGGTGGTTTAATTCTTTAAATATATAACAAAATGTAAATATGACATTCATATACAAAAATATAAAGCCTAAATCTAATGTGAAAAAATATAAATTATTTAAATAAAATGACAATTAGGTAATCTTTGAAAGACCATTGTGAAAACTTATAATTGGAATCCTATATATTTTGTGGAAATCCTCTACAGTCAGACATTTTTCCACAATTGGAAGGTCATAATAACAATTGGAATTCTAGACCGTATTAAAGTGCAACAATTATGTTGCATTAACTTGCTTTTCATACAGTTACCAAGGAGATAGGAACATCTGACAATACACACGCATGCTGCTATACAAGTAGTCCAATCTTCTACACAAAAATAAACAATTCACAATTTTATGACATATTGCTAGAGAAATTGAAAGTTTATAACAAATATTCTGTATTGAAAAATATATAAAAATTTTTCTATAAACTAAAATGTAAAGCACCTACAAATTGTGTATATTTTATAATGACGCTGGAATGTAAAGTTACTGCACTCAACTACTCAGTGGTGGCGCCAGCCGGGGACTTGCCGTCCAACGAAAGACTAGGTCCTCAGATCAGAAATGAAAAAGAATAATAATTTGCCTATCCAAATAACTGTATTTTGACTCCCAATCCCTAATATTGTGGTTTAAAAGCACCTTTTGGACCATATTATAAAAACCATAAAAACTCTCCCAGTGTACCCGAAAAGGAAGTTTTTAATCCGGGCCGTCGACTGAGGCTTTGTCGGTCCCTTGGCTCGGACCTCTCCGTTGGACATGTCGGCCCCCTTTGTTGGCAAATTTCTTGCTCCACCGCTGCAACCACTATAGAGCCACATGTAAATTTGTCTACTTTGTTTATTAGCTGTCAATTGAGAAAATAAGCAAGAAAATATTTTACTTACTAATTAATGGACATATAATTAATACCACCTTTCTATAGTCTTTGTATATGTATATACATTTTTGACAGCAAAGGATTTCTGTAGTATAACATCTAAAAATTATTGAAAATATAATATTCTATTTTTGTATTTGTGACTTATTGAAAGAAGATAAATTATGTGACTGTAAGGTTTATAATGATTTTTGTTTTTAGGTGGCAATATATTTAAATCCTGAAAGCCTGTCCAGACCATAATGACATGCCTAAATATGGTCATGATGACATCACATCATATGGGCATACAGCAATTTTTTTGTCAAAGATAATTTGATAATCTAAACAGAGCATTGTTGATTGCCATACCTCTTCTTTACAATGGTGTGCGATGTTTCTAGTTTAAAAAAATAATATCTATATTTTGACCCGTACTAATATCTATATCCAATTCATGTCTGAAGTATCCTTGCCTGTTTAAGCTACTAAGACATTACTCTGCTTCTACAGAGAACAGAGAACCTATGAGAAAACATGCCCCAAAAAGCTTGCAGTCCCCCTCTCAAATTGTAACCCCCACAGGAAATTTCATCCATCAAGCACTTCCCTTCACGCCCCCATTCCAATGCCCCTAGGTATGCCTCTGACAGACAAGATATGTTAGATAAGGAAGTATACTTCCTAAAATAAAATGCCATCCTAAACTATAAATAGCACTTTGTGTGTAGCATGAGTATATGCTACACACCTCCCTTCACCAGAACATTTACACGCTGTTACTTTATCGGTGCAAAGCTCAGCGTTTTTGGTTTCTCCGTCTCCTCAAGGCCGTTCTGTCGTCGGCAGTGTGCAAGAACCGTGGGTATCGGGAACATGGTCACCTCCTCGCTATCCCTTCTGTCCCAATTCCGATCATACTTCATTCCATGTTTGCGTAACTTAAGTAGGTAGTCAGAATGGTATTTGCCATCGGTGAAATCCATGAAACGTTTGTAATCCCGTTGCAATGCCTATTTCAGTAAAAAGAAACAATAATATTCCACGAGATATAGTACAAAAAGTGCCGACCGACCAACCAACGATGATTTACAAAATATTGCTGCTCTTGTGCAATAACATTTTTTTGGCCATAAGCTTCTGATTTACAGAGTGAAGATATTTTGTGAGATGCAAAAATGTTGGCCACTTATAGGAATTAAACCCAGCACCCTAGGATTGGAAGGCAAGTACCATTACCCACCAAGCTGCAAGCAGGGATGAACCAGAAATAGCCCTTCCCCTCAAATTAAGTGAAAGCTGATGTATTTAATGGTAATGGTTGGAGACTTATATAGCGCATAATACATGGTATCTATGCGCTCGGGACTAGATGTTGCACTTTACATTAACTTTCTCCTCCCCTAAGGGTCACTTCATGTCTTCAGCAGCCAGTAAACCGGCGCACTTTCATCTGTCATTTACCTGATATGCTACTCATTTTCATAAACACTTAAATTCTGTAATGTAAATGGAAATGTCTTACCCTAAAGTCAGATTGGACGAGATTCCGTGCCTCAATTTCATCTCGTAAACGCCTCCTTAAATCATCAATTCTGAGTAAAATAAAATATAATAAACATTCAATATATATATCCAAAAAAAAAAAATAATTTAAAAACTATTAATATCTTAATCTTTTAATTATTAATTATTATAACAGAACAGTAACAAACACAATTACACTGATAACAATAATAATATAAACAAAAGTAATTTACAATAATGATTTTAATAATAATAGCAGCACGTACATATCTTCTAGCCTGTCACACTCTTGCTGGTGTAACTTGGCGATACGTGCAGCCTCCGCAGCAGCTACCCTCTCGCACTCTATTCTCATTGATTCTATGGCATTTTCCAATCGAATTTCAAACTTCTCCTGAAAAGAAAAGATTTTTGAGCCACTACCACATCAGATATATCACCATTATATCATCAGTAACCCTATACTTTGTATTTTAATTTTACAGTATATGTTATTTTCATTTTACTTGTTATTATATATTGTAAGTTTAATGTCTGTAATTTAACACTTTATATATTTTTTATCTTTTGCATATTTAACCATTTGTTTAAGCTCCTGGATACAAATTTCGTTTGTACCGTGTTGTATTGCCAGAATTGTATTTACAGTATTATTATTAATTATAATACCATTATTGTATGTTCTAACCATTATCACTATTACCACAATCTTAATCATTATCATCATCAACATCTCTTTCCTATCAACTTGTGTAAAGTTACATTTACACTAGACACGATAACACAACAGCGAAATATCATTGCGTTGTATATATTCTACACAACATCAATTTTTACAGTTGCTTTAATACACAAGATTGTTGCAGCAAGTATGCGATATCTTACCCTTGCTACCCGCAAAGCCTCCGCAACAGCAAGTTCTTTCTCCAGGGCAAACTGGTTATGTAAGCGCTGAGTAGTTTCCGCAATGGCATCCGCCACCGCCTTCATCCTCATCTTCTCGCATTCCTCCCACTGACTTTGTAGAGCTTCTTCCTTTTCCCTCTTCATTCTCACTGTCAACTTTTTGATACGTTCACCTTCCAAGATGTCGCGTGCACATGCCATGCGTAGTGCTTGTTCTTGGGCAGCCTTATGATTTGAGTGAGAAATTCAAAGTTCAATGTATAGCCTATACAATCCAATCCAATCAATCAATCAATCAAGTAGAACCTCAATCAATCACGTAGAACCTCATTATTACATTTACGAAAAATGTTATGGTTAGGTAATATCAGAAAATGATGTTAACACAATGTTGCAACAACGTTAGCAATATTATTTATTTGGAAATTCCATTATAAATATGTACTTACTGATACTAATAATTTTTTATTCATCATAAAAAAACATTTGATTGCTTTCCTTGGCAAATTATTGGTGTTAAAATTTAAGACATAAAGATGTTTAAGACACTCCATTACTAAATAAAACTTCAAGACATCAAAAACAAGACATCAAAAATATTCAAATGGACTAAAACAGCATTATTATAAAATTATATAATACTAGACAACAACGAAGAACCTCTTTTGAAGTTGGAATTATGTAAGGGAATGGCATTTAGAACACATGAAAATCTATAGCATGAATTATTTGACACCTTCAATATTAGTAATATACTTATAATTGTTATGGTCATTATTGTTATATAATACTTTAATATAATATTAGTATAACATGAATGAATGTCATATACCCTCTTTGCATCTTCAAGTGAGTTTTTAAGGTTCTTATCAGCTTCTTCTCTCGCTAGCCTTAACGCCTCTTTTAGTTCCTTCGTGGCCCTTTCTTGTGTGTCCGCTATTGCCTTCTTCACTGCATTTAGTTTTTCAAGCCTAAAAGCCTCTGTTGTACTACCGTAAATATTTCCACCTACATCTAAAATAAATTGAACATTTATGTGTAAAATTAAATTTAAATATAAATTATAAAGCATAGAAAATTTTTTTGGTGTGATTCACACCAAGGAAAACTGTCCAAAGGCTTGTTTCTGTTGGGATCCTTCAGGAATTGGGCAGTACACCAGGAGATAAGATCCTGTTTTTTCCAAGAGTATTCATTGTTCAAATGTAGAAAAGACTATCTGCTACAACTTCTATTTCAGCCCTCTAGATTATTTAGAGAGCAGCTTAGCTCAGTCGGCTAATCTGGTGGTAGCCACTGTGTATGCGCTGAACCGTGGATGTCTCTTGGTCCCCGGTTCAATTCCCATCGCTGCTTCTCCTTGTGTTTCAGCTAGAGGGCTGAAATACAAGTTACATAGCGCACCGTCTTTCGGATGAGATGTTTAAGCCGTTGGTCCTGTGTGCATTTATAGCCCATGTGCACATTAAAGAACACTGTGACATGGGTCAATGATCAGTATCAGCATATTTGTTTTTAAAAATTGTCCAATCCAATAAACAGAAACATGTTCCGAACAAATTGGTACCAAAGTTAACTCTCTACCACCAGTGGTTGTGGAGATATGAGGATTCTGTGGCTATGACCTTAAAACATGTCGAAGGTCAGAAATGTTCTATTAGAGCAAATAGAAACATGAGTATTCCGAACAAATTGGCACCAAAATTAACTCTCTACCACCAATGGTTGTGGAGATAATAAGGACTCAATAACTATGACATTAGAAACATGTCAAAGGTCAAAAACAGCATTTCCGGTCATTTTCTAGCAAACTTTTCTATTAGACCAAATAGAAATATTAATGTTCCGAACATATTGACACAACAATTAACTCTTTACCACCAGTAGTTGCGGAGATATAAAGACCCTATTGCTATGACCATGAAACAGTTTTGTTAAAAAATGATCGGAAAGGCTGTTTCTAACCTTTGACATGTTTCAAGGTCATAGCAAAGGTCAAAAACAGCATTTCCAGTCATTTTCTAGCAAACTTTTTTATTAGACCAAATAGAAACATTAATGTTCCGAACATATTGACACAACAATTAAATCTTTACCACCAGTGGTTGCGGAGATATAAAGACCCTATTTCTATGACCTTGAAACATGTCAAATGTTAGAAACAGCCTTTCCGACAAAACAAAATGGACCATTAGAGCAAATAGAAACATGAATGTTCTAAACAAATAGGCACCAAAATTAACTCTCTACCACCAGTGGTTGTGGAGATACGACGACCCTATAGCTATGACCTTTGACCCTGACATTTTGACCTTTTGCCACATTTTGAAAATGTGTTATCAAGCCAAAAATGATTCTTGGACCATCCTAAACCAATTTCTGAAGTCAAATTCTCTGGACCTCAAAGTGCATACAAAACCTGGTTTGGCTACTAGGGTAAGATGAAACACAATGAAACCAGTGATTGGAATTGAACCAGGCCATAGATAAAAAGGATCTCTACAAGGTGGCTACCATCAGTTTAACTGACTGAGCTAACCTGCTCTTGCATAATGTAACGTATTGGAACTTGATATAGAACATTATAGTGAAGTCTCAACGCGCTTTAAAAAGATGATAACCAAGAAACTACTGCGAATGCAGAGTGAACAGACTGAGCAGAAAAAACCAAACATCACTGCATCAATAATTTTCTTCCTTAAAAGACCACTTTTGAAGACCATGAAAACCTAGTCCTAAAAATGGTTGGAGGGGACCTGTAGTTAATATAAATACTAATGAACAAATGTAAGTAAGTATAAAAAAAAATTATTATTACTACATACCACTGATATTAACATGAGTTGCTTGCTGCGTAGTAAGTGTGGTATGCTGTAGAATGCGCTGTAATGTCTCGATGGGGTTCTGGATTGGACGGACTGGTCGAGTAGACATTCTTAACTCCCCCCTGATCCCACTGACTGCTGTACAGATCTTGCTGTACTGTACCTTCCAAATAATTTAGCATCAGAAGTTTTGAGTTACCATGATCCACATTTCTACTTGCTGTTGTATTCTAGAAGAAATAAAATACATTTTTTATTTAAAAAAAAAATTAGCATGTTACCTGAGATGATTATACACGGGTGTTTTTGACACTCTGTTAGTTGACATAAAACACTATCATAAACCTAAAGTAATATAAAACTACTCCTCCTCTAGGGCTGGATATTTTTACTTCCTTCAAGCTTCTGCCCACACCACCAGCCAGTCCGCTGCGTGTGTGAAAGACAGGCAGCCTGCCTAGCTAGCCTCTCATCCCTAGGTCTTAATTATAGATTATAGTATTGCATAATTAAACATTAGAGCATACCAACTTAAAAATACAGGACTGCATCTTATTCGACTAATATTAGGTAAAGCCTCAGGTAAGGCCTTATATTATCAAAAATTATCAAATTTAACCCACCTTCTGACAACAACTCCTGTTCTGACACTTCGTAGTTTATCGCGCATCATGAATCATCATCATAGCAACATTGCTGTCAGATTACGCCCTCTATCGGTTTGGTATAATCACCCTTTGCTTTCTTATCTGAGATTAATCAGTGGACCTTTCGGTTGCTGTATGTATTATTATGTGTTTTTCTGTTCTGTATTGTCTGGCTATGTTTTTGACTGCTCTGTTCTGTCTGTGTGTTTCTGTTGTACCTGTGTTCTGTGTTTTGTCTGTATTTGTATGTTTACTTATTTCTGTTTGAATTTTTTATCTGTTTCATCTTCAATTATTAGCTTAAGATGTTCCTTTTCGCAATATTTTCGTAAATTTTAATCGATATCAAGTTGTCAATAACCAAACCACAAAGACTATCGGAAAGTTGTGTGTAATCGGAAATATTCGGCATAATAAATTTGGGAAAAGTTAGGGCTCCCGTCAGCACAAAAGATATTGACAACAACAGAATTTTGACTGCGATTGATTGAAAAAAAAAACATAACGCAACATAATCAAAATAGAAACATTACTATTGGAAACGTTCAATTCGGCGATTCTGTTTCATTCATATGCAAAAAATATTCATTATCATTACTGAGTCGCCAATATATTGATAATTCTATTTATTGTCACGTCTAGTAACAATGCCAGATGTGGTTTGGGTTACTTTGATATTCCTAATTCTTTTAAAAGTCAGGCTCCGGAGAAAAAACAATGTAATATTTTTGTAGAACTGATTTTTCTAAGACAGAAAAAAAGT